TTTCTTTACTTAGTAAGTTTTCTTTTTCCTGAGTGTTTGTTTGAATATTCATTTCTTTGCAGTATCTTACAAATATATTTTGCACTGAAAATGGAATAGTTACATCTATTTCTGTTCCAACTATGCTGTTCTTGGACTCGTTCTGTTGCTGAGTTGACCTGACATATTCTTAGCTAAGTAAGGCATGTCATTAGCAATTCTAATGTGTTTCATTTGAAACCCACATGCAGAAGGAAAAAAGTTTTAAAAATGTAAGGAAGAGTAAAATAGTGATCCCTACAGGATAATCTCTTTCAAAACAGAGGGAATATCATCATAGTCTCTCTGTTTTAGAAATCATTTTGCTCAGAAGAACAAAAAGATAAGAAGAAACATGAGACATTTAGCTTTACTTCTTTGTTTTCATACTTATTTTTAATTATTTTCATCTCACCGTCCCAATTCTATACTCAGTATTCAATTATTGCTCTTTCTGGACTGAATTTATGTTCTCTCTGTTCTTTATCATAAGATATATTGTGATGCTCATTTCTGCCTTAAAATCTTGGATTCTGGAGCCAGGTTTTTGTATGGAACAGTCAAAACCTTTTATTCTTTTTTTTATCATTTTTTATCCTTTTCTTCCTTACCCTTTCCTTCCTTCCTCTTTTTTTCTCTCTCTCCCTCTTTCTTTCTGATTTTAAGTAACTTTACAGCTCTCACATGTTGTGAGGAAAAAGCTTAAAAAGAATGTGAAGTTTTTTGTTTCCAGCAGTAGAACTCAATATTTTCAGTATTCAAAATATGATTTTAAATTCAAACCATGATTTTTGGGGCTTATTTCTTAATCAATGAGCCTTAAAACCTCTTTGATATTTATCATCTTTCTATGTGATGCCATGAAAGTTGAAATCTTGAAAACCCAATATAAAAAAATACCTACGTGATGTTGTATACCTATGTGATGTTCTAATACACATTAGAAACTACATACAGTACAATTCATAAATACTACAAACTCCTAATTTTAGGCTGTAATGTTGCTTAATTAAAATAAGGTTTCATACAACATATATCTTTATGGCTAAGAAGTACCCTTTCAACTGAGTGTTTTGTTTGTTTTTGATGGCTTTGTTGTTGTTTTAATCTATGATCTAATAAACTTGATAAAGTAGGCTTTTATATTTCTCTGAATGGAGCATAAGTATATATACCTCATGTACTTAAATGTATATATGTTATTCCTGCTAAACATAATTTGTAACATAAGATAGATATGTAGAGTTACCTTTATTTTGCACATTGGAATTCAATTATGAGGAAAAAAAAAAGTGGATTTTCCCCTCTGAAAGTGAACCAGTAGGAAGGGCACATTCCTTGCTCCAATCTCTTCTTCATACTCTTATATCTGAAAGTTTACATTTGCCCACAGTCTGTCTACATTTACATCTTCATGCTATTAATGGCAGAAAACTGAGAAGGCATTTTTTATATACCTTGATATATCAAAAGGCTTACAATGCAACTGTTTCTGTATCATTTAATTCAACCTTGATTCTGTGGTGTATGTCTCCTTCCACATTGAAGGGCTGAAACAGAGAAGTTATCACTAGCAGTACCAAAAGCAAAGGTGTTATTTTGCCCCTTCTGATTACATGTGATTACATAAGCACAGAAGAGGAATGGGGAACATGAAAGACTATTTTGCATGATTTTTTGTTATCTCAGCTGGAAGTTCCTAGAATCATTCAGGAAAAGAAAATGTTTATTCTCATCTAAAAAGAGATTCTTATGGGGTGAGTAACTCTGCTTTCTTCATGTTTCCTGGCTGAAATCTGGGCCAGCACCAATGCCAGGTAAAAGCCCAGTCCCGCAACTACGACATCATCGGCATAAGCGAAACCTGGTGGGATGAGTCCTGTGACTGGGGTGTTGCGATAGATGGTTACAGGCTCTTCAGGAGGGACAGGCAGGGTAGGCGAGGTGGTGGGGTGGCGATGTATGTGAAGCAGGGGCTGGACTGTGTGGAACTCCAGGTCGGAGATGGCAAAGTTGAGAGCCTCTGGGTAAGGATCAAGGGACGAACGAATAAAGGGGATGTTGTTGTGGGAGTCTATTACAGACCGCCTGGCCAGGACGATAGCGCCGATAAATTATTCTTTACAGAACTAAGAGAGGCCTCGAGATTAACTCCCCTTGTCCTTATGGGGGACTTCAACTTGTCAGACGTTAACTGGGAGTGCCACATGGCTGACACGAGCAAGTCCAGGAGGTTCATGAAGCACCTAGATGATAACTTCTTGGTGCAGGTGCTAACGGAGCCAACTAGGAAAGGTGCCCTCCTAGACCTGTTGCTAGAAAACAGAGAGGGTCTGGTGGGAGATGTGGTGATTGGTGGCTGCCTCGGTCATAACGACCATGAAGTGGTTGAGTTCAAACTTTATGGTGACAGAAGGAAAAGTGCCACCAAAACCTCATCCCTGGATATGGGGAAAGCGGACTTCAGGCTGCTCAGGGAACTAGTCAGCAAGGTCCCCTGGGAAACTGCTCTTGAAGGCCTCGATGTCCACCAGTGCTGGTCATTCTTTAAGCGATGCCTCCTAGAAGCACAAGATCAGGCAATTCCTAAATATTGCAAGTCAGGCAGGCGGGGCAGGAGGCCAGCGTGGCTGACCAGGAACATTCTAATGGAGATTAGGCGGAAACAGAGAGTGTTTCGCTACTGGAAGGAGGGCCAGGTATCATGGAAAGAATACAGGGATGCTGTTCGTGTTTGTAGGGAGAAAATTCGTGTGGCTAAAGCACACCTAGAGTTGAAGCTGGCTGTGTCTGTGAGAGAAAATAAAAAGGGTTTTTTTAGATATGTGAATGGAAAAAGGAGAACTAAAGAATACATAGGGCCGCTCCTTGATAGGGAAGGTCTCCTCACAGACAATGACATAGGCAAAGCAGAGACGCTTAACGCCTTCTTTGCCTCTGTTTTCAATGCCAATGATGGCCTTCGGGACCCAGGGTGCCCTGAGCTGGAGGACCAGGAACTAGGAGATGACAAACTCCCAACCGACCCTGAACATGTGCGGGATTTGCTACTCCACCTGGATCCCTACAAGTCCATGGGTCCGGATGGGATTCATCCCCGGGTGCTGAAAGAGCTGGCGGATGTCATCGCGGAACCTCTCTCAATTATTTTTCAACGATCCTGGGAATCTGGAGAGGTCCCGGTAGACTGGAAGCTGGCAAATGTTGTGCCGATTTTCAAGAAGGGTCAGAAAGAAGACCCTAGCAATTACAGGCCTCTCAGTCTCACGTCAGTGCCTGGTAAAATCATGGAGAAGATGGTTCTCGAACTTATTGAGGCGCACCTGGGGGACAAAGCAGTCATTGGTCCCAGCCAGCATGGGTTTGTGAAGGGTAGGTCCTGCCTAACTAACCTGATTTCCTTTTATGATAAGATCACCCGTATGGTGGACCAAGGGAAACCAGCTGATGTGATTTTTTTGGACTTCAGCAAGGCTTTTGACACGGTTTCCCATAGGATCCTACTGGACAAAATGTCCACCATACAGCTAAATAAAAACATCATACGATGGGTGAGCAATTGGCTAACGGGCAGGGCCCAAAGGGTTATGGTAAATGGGGCTGCATCAGGCTGGCGGGCGGTCACTAGTGGGGTCCCTCAAGGCTCCATTTTAGGGCCGGTACTTTTCAATATTTTTAAAAACGATCTGGATGTGGGAATAGAAGGTATTTTGAGCAAGTTTGCTGATGACACCAAACTTGGAGGAGTTGTGGACTCTGTTGAGGGTGGAAAGGCCTTGCAGAGGGATCTGGATAGGTTGGAGAGCTGGGCGATCGCCAACCGCATGAAGTTCAATAAGAGCAAGTGCCGGGTCCTGCACCTGGGACGGGGAAACCCTGGCTGCACGTACAGACTGGGCGATGAGACGCTGGAGAGCAGCCTAGAAGAGAGGGATCTGGGGGTCGTGGTAGACAGTAAGTTGAATATGAGCCAGCAGTGTGCCCTGGCAGCCAGGAGGGCCAACCGTGTCCTGGGGTGCATCAAGCACGGCAACGATAGTAGGTCAAGGGAGGTGATTGTCCCGCTCTACTCTGCGCTGGTGAGGCCTCACCTCGAGTACTGTGTGCAGTTCTGGGCACCACAGTATAAAAAGGACATGAAACTGTTGGAGAGTGTCCAGAGGAGGGCTACAAAGATGGTGAAAGGCCTGGAGGGGAAGACATACGAGGAATGGCTGAGGGCACTGGGCCTGTTCAGCCTGGAGAAGAGGAGGCTGAGGGGAGACCTCATCACAGTCTACAACTTCCTTGTAAGGGGGTGTCGAGAGGCAGGAGACCTTTTCTCCATTAACACCAGTGACAGGACCCGCGGGAACGGGGTTAAGCTGAGGCAGGGGAAATTTAGGCTTGACATCAGGAGGGGGTTCTTCACAGAGAGGGTGGTTGCACACTGGAACAGGCTCCCCAGGGAAGTGGTCACTGCACCGAGCCTGTCTGAATTTAAGAAGAGATTGGACTGTGCACTTAGTCACATGGTCTGAACTTTTGGGTAGACCTGTGCGGTGTCAAGAGTTGGACTTGATGATCCTTAAGGGTCCCTTCCAACTCAGGATATTCTATCATTCTATGATTCTATGACAATCTTATTAATGCGAGGAAGAAGGAAAAAAGGGGAATGTTGGGAATTGGCATACAGGACGTGGACATAAGCAACCAGGGGTAGGCCTTAGAAATCTCGGGGCCTGCTGTAGCTGAGCAAACCAAGCTGCCAGAGTAACTGTGAGAAGCTCCCACGGCAATGACTCCCATATCACCCAATTAAGGAACTCAGAAAATATTGTTATCAGCAGCTGGCCTCAAGGACTAGGCCTACGTGACCGTTAAGCACAAAGGGGGTTGTTTTCCTAACTTCTAATCAAAAGGGGGTGTTCTTTTCTTGCAGGTGGTGTTATTTTCTTAACGGTTTGTCTGGGTGCTTTTGACCAATAATCTTGTGTGAAACACTGTCCACCCCTGTAAAATTCACTATAAAAGTTGGGCTATTCGGGCAATAAAATGGTGAAGCATGATCTGACTCTGCTGGTGTCTGTCGTGCTTTCGTCCGTGCTTCGCAACAGGGGAACAGTTTGTATCTCCAAACTTTTCCAAAGTATATAAAATATTTGATTCCACCACAAACTTGGGAAATCAGGTCTGCCACTGGCACAAGACTGAATCTTTTTCTTATGTGAAATTCTGACAGGACTCCTTTGTGACAGAAGTGTTTAGGTATTGACTGAAATTTTTTGTTTTCATCTCTTTTCTGAAGAATTCAGCTTAGATAATCAACATTTTAAGCCATACAAATTAGGAAAGCGTCTTCTGATAATGTTTTGCTAGCAGGAGTCAGTGAGAAGGACTTTTTTATGAGCATGTGCTTTGGTAAATAAACATGCGTTCCTCTGTTGTATTTAATGTCTATAAGGGAAGAAACCCTACCAGTAGAAGTTTTCATGCCCTTTTTTCTCCAAAAACATACAGGTGTGTTTAGAGTATGCAAATCTTTTTATCTCTGCTTACAGAAACCCTACTGCTACACCTCCTGGTGTCTCTTAATCTTTAATGTTTCTGTCTTTAAATGGCTCTCCTTCGTGTCTTCTTCCCCCAGCAAGACAAGCACTTATTTTCCCATTTTAGGTATGAGGAGCTGAGGTTAGATTTTCAGTTCCCAGGTACAAAAAAAAAAAAGAACAGCCCAGAGGGAAGAATCCCAGGTTAGATGATTTTAGCTTAAATGCAAACAGAACAGATGAATGACATGATACTGGGGACATACATGTCTTTGCTTAGCCTCATTCCATCCAACAACTGTCCTCAATATATACTGCACAATTTTAGTGCTGGTTTAAAGCTCCTCAAAGTTCTCTACAGTGAATAGAAACTGGTTCTTCTTATAGGTCAATGATAAGTACTGGACTACTGGAGATGACTACAGAAGAATGTACAGATGTCCTTCATCTCAGCTCACCTGAGATGACATCATGTTTCTTCTATCAGATGAAATAGAGTGTCTCAGGAACTACATCTGGCTGCTACTGTCGTTGCAGCGAGGCTAGGGATGAAGTGTGCAGGTGATCCTGGTGCTTCAGTGTGGGCTGCCTCCCTGGCAGCACAGATCCTCTCTCCATCGCCTGTTGCTTCTTGCCTGGTTATTCATTGCCTTCCAGTGTTGCCCCCAGATGGGGCAATACCTGTTTTCTTTCTGGAGAGCGATTTGCCTGTCCTAAACATCTGTCTATTTTGCCTTTCCCAGAGCCGGCTTGAACTGTTTAAATGCGACGCATCAGGATCACATGGAACAATTCCCATATTCATTATAGTATGTCTGGGACAACTCCAGCCATTGTTTCAAGACAACTTCGTATTTGAGATAGTTAATGTGTTTTAGCTCTTTTTAATATGATTTAGTAGCTGGGTGTAAAAACAACAAATCAGACATGCTATCAGCCAATTCACTGAATGCAGGAGTTTGGAAATCTTGCCTGTACAGACCCTTGTCTTTCACACACTCATTCAGTGAGGTGAGCCCCCCCCATCACTCTCTGGAGAGAACCGCAGCCCTTCCCTGTGCCTGCAGCCCCTTCTCCCCAGGCTGAAAAGGCCAGCAGGACAAGAGTGCCCTGGCTCAGGCTTCTGCCCCAGGGCCCCGTGTTGCTGCAGGTGAGCTCAGACCACGCTTCCAGGTTTAGAGGTCCACACCTTGATGTTCTCACAGGGAAAATGTAAGTATTTGTATTAGGTCATGTAATTTTGTATTGGTGTGTTGTGCAATTTACAGATAGTAATTTCTATTCATTTCTGGCTGGTATGATGTCCAGCACTGTGTGGATGTTATTATCCATACAATGGCAGATCTGAAGAGGGCTTGGGAGCCCAGCACTCAGCTGGGACAAATCAACATTGCTGTATTTATGTGAGAGAAGTGATATTGTTTTACCATAGCTACAACACATCCATTTCTGAGCATGTTTGCTATTGTTAATACTCACCTTGGTGATAACTAGATAACTGTGCAGTTACTCACAAAATTTCTTGCTTGCATTTTTACAGTCTTTCCCCTTCCCACCTCCTACCTCCTCTGCTTGGCCACAGTTATTTATACAGCTTGGTATTGCTTTTCATTAAATATATCTTTTCCAAATGTCTGTTTAGGTTTACCTGAATTTTATGGGACTGTCTTGGAAATGTTGAATAAAATTCTGACTTTCATCTCTTGTCTAGACTTCTGCTAAACCTCCAGGGCATTGTGGATGACAAGTGACAGCTTTTAAGATGAACTTTTTCTAAAAAGTTTTTTAATCCTCCTAAGGAAACCCTTCTGAAGAAAATGAATCCAAAATGGTAATTTCCTTAAATTGTTTGCTTTAGAAGCTTTTCTGGTTTCCTGTTCTCTGCGGGAAAGGTTTTGCCTCACTTATATTTATGGTGTCTTCCCCTCTCCCCCATGTTTTCTTGCATATTTGACAGTAATATCATTAAAGTGTGTGAAGATGACTAACTGCTTAGAGGTCTAACTACATGCTCAGGGGCTGAAGTACATGTTGCTTCTAAGTTTGCATGTTTGTTGACTTGATAGTAATTAATGGAGTTAATTCTGCAAAGAAGCAGTTCGTGCAGGGCAGGAAAGTCTTTTAGATCGCTTTGTTGCTGTTAACAATTTTGGTATGAAAATGCATGAGGTGCAACTGAACTCTTAGTTTGGCTGTTCTGCTTGTTATTTTAAAATACATGTCTTCCAAAGTAATTTCTGTGTTTTTTTTTTTTTTGTTTGTTTGCTTGTTTTTGTTTTTGTTTTTTTAAAAAGGCTATTCTGTAACAACCTGTGATGGAAAAGGAAGGTATAGCATCATGACTTCAGGCTCCACAGATACTTCCAATTTCTGTCTCTTGCTAGATCACATTGATGCAGATCAGCTCAAGATGGCCTGATTTGCAGTACCCACAGGATTGCTGTGGTGTAGGGACACCTTGTTTGCCTTGATGGCAGTGGCTCCCACTGTCCTCCTTTTGCAGGCAGTGGCTGCCCAGAAGTGGCAGGATGCTAGTGTTCAAAACAGAGCAGTGGTTGCATGGCATGCTGCAGCATGAAGGGCACCCATCTGAGAAGGGATGAGCACTGTGCTGATTTGTACTTGCTGTGGGTTGATACAGCCCCCCAGCAGTTAGCACTGCTCAACTTTAAAAACAAGCCTAGGAAAAATGCAGGGGTTTATTCCACCCATCTTATCCCATTCCCTAGATAAAATGCTTCTTTTGAAAAGTTTCCTAGGTTTGTCAGCAAAGATATTCTATACTAGTATAAAGGATATTGTATATAGTATAAAGAATACTATGTCCACTGTGTATACATTTAGCAGGGACTTGCTGGACATCAGCTGGTAAAAATCCTTCAAGATCGCTTTCCCACTGTGCATTCTTGAGACTCTCTCAGCTCATATTTTTTCCAGAAAGAAATAGATGCACACAAAACACGTGCATGCACTATGAATCTGATGTGTTCAGAATGTGTCAAAACTTCTGCACAAGCTACACAGGTGACAAAAGCATGTGTAGTAAGTCAGATACATTCTGGACATACTGAATTTTCTGTTCATATACAAATTGTCTCCACAGTGCATGCAAAGACTGGATGATCTGTCACAGATGAGTCATAGTCACTACACGTGCACTGCGGCAGTGAGATCTGGATAGCTGTCAGCTCCCTCTGAGCTAGTGCTTCTGGGAACCACTGGTCTAAATAGATGGATGAAAAGTGTTGCCAGGGTAGCAGAGGTCCAGAGCGTGGGCTCAGAGGCTTACCAGAGCCACAGTGGGGATAAACAAAAAATTTCAGCGTCCTGAATTCCTCTTAAATATCCCACCATTGGGTTGTTCTGTTAGGATACTTAATTTCATGATCCTTTTACCTGTATTCTGAACTGTTAATTTCAAAAGTAAATTAACGTGTACTGGGGAAAATACCACTAAATTTGTCATAAGAAAAATCCAGAGTCAGCAGCTCCTGTGACCTGTATGATAGGTAGTGATTAACTGGAATGGGAGCATTCAAGAATCCTGCAAGGGAGTCTTCTCATGCTGGGAAAACCCCCAAATAATCAGGTGTGCTTGTTAAAGAAAGTTTCCTGGTGCCTTCTTCCCATCCTACTGCTGGAAAAGTTAATAAGGAATTACCAGAAATTATTAGGTATGGTATTTATATTCTCCAATTGTGATACTGCCTACAGCAGATACCTGCCATTGTTGGACCTATTCAGACAGGCCTTTTGTACATTTTGTGCATGTTCAATTAACTTACGTTGATTGATGATGACTCTCCAAGTCTGTATTTCTATTTGGGGGTGTGACCTCTGTTGCTTTGTGTTCAGACACCTAGAACTAAGGCCTACTGATTTGGGTGAAGTGTTTCATAGCTGATTCAAATCTACCTTTGTAACTGCTTTGAGATGAAAGCAAAACAGTACCATCAAGTTAAAATATTTTAATAGCATATTTAACACTGTATTTTAAACTTCATTCCTACATGGAGGCTGCGTGATGGCAAGAGTGAGCCCTTCAGAGTTCACTGACCCTCCAGAAGGGAGATCATAAACTTTGCATACCAATACAAATAAAAGAAATTGATATATCAACCTCTGTTTAAATTACTTTTAAAACACAAGTGTTGAGGGGATAAGGCATAGATCGAAATAGGCCCCTAACTCAGAAGCGGCCAACCCATCAGAAGGCAGAATACTGAAAAGGTCATCTTGAAATGGCATAGGACTGTATTTCATAAAATACAGGCGTTACATTTCTGGAACTTCATTTGTGTGACAAAAACTGTGACAGGAACAGAGGTTGGCACAAAATCAATATACTCGGGCAGGGACTGTAATAAATAATAAAAATGAGGAACAGCATAAATTTTAACCAGTTTTCATTACAAGTTAAAGCCAGACTGATTTCCTATGTGATCTCTTGAAGCTGCACAATTTCCAAAGACGCATCAGCAAAGGTATATTTTTCATTTTGGATGAAAGGTGCTAAGACAAGTATTAAAGAGAAGGAGAGAAACTGAGGGAAAGAGAAAAAGGGCTGTTCATCACCTTCATTGCGCTTGGGTGATGCCATCTGGAAGGGAGGTGTGGAGGAAGGGGCAGGAGACAGGTCGGGGCCTGCCATGCCCCATCATGGCCCTGCACTCCCCTGGGGCTGAGGAGACTCAGCTGTTTAAATGTTATTCAGCCTCAAGAAGTCTGTTTTATACAGTGCTGAACAACTTCTCATCCCTGAGCACAAGACAGTTTCGTGTCTTGCAGAGCTTGCTCAACACTGAGGTCCTGACACTTTAATTTTCTAGTCAAATGTACCAGTAACATCAATTAGCAAGCATAATCCTCTTGTGTGAGTCTGTCACTGTCCTCTAAAATGTAAGCTGCGCTGGTGCTACAAAATGATAAATGTGTTAGTTCAGATTTTATCAACCCAAATGGACGCGAGCTCTTCGGTCTGGCTCAGTCTGTGGTGGTGATTGTCTTGCTGAGACCTCCTTGGGCAAGAGGAGTGACTCAGCTCTCCTGGTTCACCTCCCCCTTGGCAGTAGAGAAAGCTGAGCCCAGGCCTCCACAATAGACCTCCGCTGAGACTGACAACTTCCTACGGCTGCGGGTTAACCTTGTTATGACAGCACAGCTGCAGTTACCATTGTACGCGATAGCACGCTCTTCCCAAAGTAATAGCAGCTCTCGGAATCACAAATTGCAGCCAGCGCTTCATCTCTTGTGTTGTTATTTAGCCACAAATGACTCTGACATCAGTTTCTAATGGCACAGACGTGCTTTTTTCGGTTTTCTCCTGAATGGAAGGTTAGCAGGGAACAGTGCCTGCTATAGTAGTTCTATTTCATGAATTTATAGTGAAAAATATGAACCTGTGTCCACTCCCATGTTCCCATTTGACAAGTGCTTTGTTACTGGAACACCTTTCCACCATCCTATCAAGAGTAATAGTAATCAGATGCATCCGTACATCACTGTACATTGCACGTAGTTCTGCCTGGAAAAAAAAAGTGTTTCAATGCAAATATTATGTTTAAATTATGTTTTTATTTGGAGTGTGCAACATTCTTTTTTATTAGTGGAGAAATTCATGTACTTATTTGTTTGTTTATTTGTTTTTGTCATAGAAAGACTGATAGAATTTGTGGACGAAGTAGTTTTTATTACTGTCAAAATATTTCAGGTAGAGGGCATGTTAAATTAGCTTCTTGTTTCTCAAATTCTCCTTTAATATTTTCCTTCTGTCACATTCTAACACTTGTCAAACAAAACTCAGTACTCAAGGCTGGCTCTCTGACCACTGACCGTTTTTTTTTTCAAGTGTTCACAAACCACCACATTCTCTCTCTTGACCTTCTGGATAATTCCCCAGGTAAATATACTTTTTCGATGAACCTCCCTCTATCTTATGGATAACAATTATATGATGTTCATTACTCAAATTGCCCAAATGTCTATGCTACAATTTAATGCACAAAACCTCATAATATCCGAATGCTTCAGAACTAGCTATTATTAGAATAAATTTTTGAGTGGATATTTTTAGTGTTCACAAATGTAGGGTGTAGCATTATTAAATTTCTTTAGTTGCACTGTGTGTCTCAGGAATGTGCCAAACCCAGTACAGCTTTTAATTGCTTCATTCTCTACTCAATAATTTTCCTGCTGTTATTAGCATGTGCTGCTCAGCAATCATTCTGAGCCAAGGCATTTGTCGGAGGTTTCTTTTGTGTAGTGTTTGTGTTCTGCCTCTCAGCTCTCTATAACACAGTTCTGCACATGAAACTGCTCTACTCCATGACTGATTTCAACTGGCAATTGCAAGAACTCAGAGAAAATATATTTCTTCATAAAGCAGGCCTTATAGCTATAGCTGGGTAGAAGAATTAGTATGGGTTATATTTCTTAGATGGCAATGCAAAAAAAAAGCTGAAAAGGTTTGGAAGATCTATCAGCACTTTGCAGACATATGGTTTTCAATCTTGTAGGGAGGGAGAACAGTAAATAGGGGAATACCAACCTCAAGCACCTGCAGGCACTAAACCTGGGTTTGAGAATCCTCCGTCTTGTGCAGTCTTATTCATTCTATGGGTATCTATCTATCTAAAGTAGAGATGTAATCATTTTATCTATGAAAAATGCATGCAAATAAGGTTAAATAATGAATTATTTTTATATTAATTTAATATTTTTATACAATATATCTCTGATTCATCAAATTTCAAGCAATGTTGTATTGCAATAATTTATTGGAAGACGCAAATATATACACTCTGCTGACATGAAATGTAAACCATGTTAGGAATATAATGATTAAGACATATTTACAAATCTATTCAAGCAATGGATGTACAAATTCAAATTTTATTCTGAATTTCAAAGTTAGTAAAATGGAACAGGTGATGCCTACCAAGGTGGATTGACTTATTCAGCTGACATCATGCTGTCACTGTTGTGGAGATTGTATTGAATCCACAGTGTCATCATTTTGGGGTTGTGATACAGGACAATTTCAGCAAAATGTCAGCAACCAGTGTGGAATGAGCAACACTGTGGAAGGGCCCTGGCTAACTGTCTCTGAAGGCAACCGCAAAGTAAGTGACTTGCAAGTTACCAGATTCACACTGAAGGGAGGAAAGTTTAGTTTCTCTCCTTGAGACAATGAAAGCAAGACAAAATGTGAATAAGAGAGCTTAGGCATTTTGGAGAGGTCCTTCAGAAATACATACTGCAATAGCAATGTCTTCCTTAATTAATTATGCAGTCTGAATCCTTTCCATTAAGCACTTGGCAAAAGTATTACCCTCTAGCTCTCCCTACTGGATTATTATTACATAATTTCTATATTTAATGTGTGTGAATGTATCTCTTTTAAACAACTAATTAAGCAATAACCCAAATATCTCACTATATGGTATAGATGCTTCATATTTTATGTGCATTCTGACAGTTATGGCCATGGCTTGTTTATTTTATTTTGTTTATTTTGTGATATATTAGAAAAGATACTATTTCTTCTTCTGCAGTTTACAAAGAGTCATTCTAGAGCATGAGGCTATTTCTCATAGGTGAGACTTCTAAAAACACCTAGGTGATTTTTAAGAATTCAAGATGATTTTTCAAATGTGATTTGGATGCTTAGATGCCTAAATCTTAATGTCTTTCACTGAAATTTAGTTGTCCATTCAAAAAATCTTTTAGTAACATTTAATCACATGCTGTTCTAATTGAATTGATTTTTTTAAAGCTAAAGGAAAGACTAGTCTATTTGGATTTCATCTTTCTGCAATACCCAGTTGAAGTTCTCTGTTCTTTCCAGGGGAAAATGTCCAGCATGGGTATTTTAGGTGAGTTAAAACTTGAATAGGTTATATCTCATCTGTCTCTCCCTGTATATCTCACATATCAGGACTTAGCTAAGAGAAGGCAGGGTCCTCATCAATTAAAATTTTATTAAAATATGTTTACCCATATTTTGCAATGAACAGTTTTTGCTGATGGTAAAAAGATGGCCCATTTAACTCATTATGCCAAAGAAAAAGTGTAGCTTTTATCCACATGATAGAGCTTGCAATATCAGAAAATTTAACGTTTCTTCTGAGACTTGACACCTACTGAGAAAGTTTGTAAAGAACGTAGCCACACTATGACAATAAATGTGGTAATCTGTTTATCAAATAATTTGGGAGAACTGTATTGTTTTTCCTTAATTGTTGCTTCACTGCAAAAATCTATAAAACAGAAAGTGTTTTGTATGTACCTATGGTCTGTGCTAAATATGAACTGATAGCAATTTTACTATCACTGTAAAATCCATATGCTGAAATTTGACCAAACTGAATTATATATATATATCATTATATATATATATATGTGTATATATAGTGTATATGTGTGTTTGTGTGTGTGTATATTTATATATATATATATATATATATATATATATATAAATTTGAAAAGGACTAATCCCTGTGCTGAAGGCAAGAAGCACTGACTGTCTGAAGTCTTTACGGATATGACAGGCTTGACCTCAGCAATTTGTTGGGGAGGACCAAAGCAAACTAAGGGAATGAGATAATGATTAAGCACAAGATCAGGGGACCAGTGATCAGATTTGTTCTTTAATCTCTGTCCACCCTGCCATCTCCCTTTATTTTTTTAAAGAACACTAGATACTCCCTGGGATGCCTAGCAGATTAAGCCTTTAAATCTACACCATCATATAATTTAGACCCTGATTTAGTCCTGGCTCCTGGTCTCCTTATTATGCAGAAAATAAAGCAGTTCACTCCTTAGCTGTATTTCTCAGCAAATCATCTAATTCCTTTTGGGAGGACACAAGATACAGCTCTGGGAAATGATCCTAGAACCACCCCTGTACCATATGGATGCAACTGCACCAGGTTTGACTCCCTCAACTCTCTGCACACCTCCAACGCAATTCCTGCAGTCTTTGCATCCTCACCTACACCTTTGTATCCTCATGCTACACCCTAATCCAAGCATTTCGCGGTCTTGAAATCTTATTATAGAAAGATGCAGCAGCACAGCCTATTTTGAATTAAACCCTATGTGAAATAATCCTATTCAATGTGGACATGGACCTTTCATCCAAGAGACAGAAGGTCCTTTGTCAGGTAGGCATGGGTCTCTCTTTATCAGTTCTCATGGGGACCAAAAATTTTGGAGGAGACTGGATTCTTTCAGTGTTATTACCGTAACCATAGGAAATGCAGGGTAGGAACTGAAATTTTAGGTGGGCTGAATTTCTGAATGGCCTGTTTATTCATGAGAAGATCAAGGGTACTCCTAGTTTGGGCACTTTAGATTAGTACCAGAAGATACATTTCCTGAATCTGTGCTAGTATGATATTTCAGGTCAAACTAAATTTCCATTAAATTGAAGTTTTATCCAATATAATTAAACATTAACCTCAAAACATTTTAGTATTGACACTGCTGAGAAATACCTGGACCTATAAAACATTCTGTACAGAGTGTCTAGTTCATTTCTCCATTTTGTTTTACTACTTGAAATTCACATTTTAGTGATGTAGGATGCTTATGTAAGATAAAACGATGGATTATATGAAAGAAAAATATGTTTTGATTTCACCTAAAAGTTTTTGAAAGGTGTTTGATTGCACTATAATATTGGCTTCAAGTATAAGTTCTTCATTTCAGAACTGCTTCTCAGCAGCCAGCAGTTCAAAAAGGACTTCATTTGTAAAGGAGTTCAACGTGATCTCCCAAAGCTATGCAGTGGCAAGAAATGGCTAAGGTGATTTGCACTGCACAAGGATGAGAGCTGCACACAGGGAAAAGGACTAACTTACCTCTGTAACTGAAAAATATTAACTTGACTGCATCTACCTACAGGTTTGCTTCAACAGGAACAAGATATTAAAAAGCTAGGGGAGATATAGAGAAAGCATAGAAAAGAAAACTAAGCGCTGAGTTAAAAATTCCATATATTTTAAGAGAGATAGATAAACTTGACTTGTTTAATTTTGTGGAAAAGCGGTTTGAGAGATGACTTTGATTATATTGATAATCTCTCCCAGTGGAAAAATGTCTAGGTACTAACTGCTCCACAATATAATGGAGAAAAAACAGAGCCAGTATGTGTGAACTACAGCTGCATGAATTCACATGAGAAATAACAGTTTTGATACAAAGGTGATTAACAACAGTAATAAACTACCGGCATAAGTGATAGATTTATTGATATCTTCATATTAGTCCCTAAAAAAAAAAAAAAAAAGACAAAAAAATACTATTTGGCTTAAAGGTATTCACCTAAGCAGAGCTCAGCATTAGTCTGCTGTACACTCATATATCTGCTATACTGCTTCTGTGCTAGTTTGTTTCACAACTGTAATGGGTCCAGTCCATTAATATAATACTTGTATGCTGTAGTCATATATTTGAGAGAGAATCCTGCCTGAAGAGATGAGCAAATGTATGAAACCATCTGTCAAGGCAGGAAACTGAAATTTAAATGGATGTGTAAATTTCTGCTTCTCCAAAATAATAACCCGCAAAAACTTTCAGCTAATCACTTCCTTATATTATCAGATGCACAGATATACATGTATAGCTACTACAAAAAGATCTTAATTGGTGCTTGATGCTGAGTTTGTACCTTCTTTTAGAAGTGTTTTAAGGTTGTGTCTAACATGGTTGTTCTCAAATTGGGTAAGGCCCCTAGGATCCATGAAAATTCCATTTCGTCTCTATTCTTTCTGCACTACCCCTTTCCCTCTCTGTTTTCCTTTTCTTAGAAATGCTTTCCTCTTTCACAGTCACAAAGGAATATGACATTGACTGTGACTGAATCAGGATAAAGAGACAGAAGGCAAACAGGGAACAAAGCCTGTGACCTTAAGTAAGGGCTACTTGCTGTGTAGGTGTAAAACTGGAGAGAAGAGCACCAATTTCATTGCAGAGAAGAAATAGCCTACCTTCTGCTTTATTATTATTATTATTATTATTATTATTATTACAACCATTAACATCTGTATGAATGTGAATAAAATGAAGCAATATGTTGAGCTGAAAAGAGCAAAGACACCCCAACTTCATAGTAATATCAAGAGCCTCTTACAGAATTTATGGCTTATTGAATAGACCTCCCTAAGCCTATATACATCTCACCTGACATAGAATCATAACGTTTAAAAACAAAACTGTACACCTGCAAGAAATTGATGAATGGAAGGACATATCCACAAAGCACTTTATCAACTGTCTGCCACTTTCAGTATAGCAACCAGTAAAATCTCTCTCATTTTGACAAGGAAAGAATCATTAAAAATATATGCATCTGGTGGAGAAACTGGGCTAAGGAAGGTCTACTAATGGCACCATACATCAGTATGTGACCTGGTATGGAAAAAAACCTGCAGAAAACAACCCTTTAGGAATATTTATAGGGATGAAAAAAACTGTATTATGTCTTCAGATATCCTATAAACATGTCTTAAAAACATTCTAGATTGCCTATTAAAGGGAAATAAAGTTTTTAATAATATAATGTAAAAGCAAGCACAGGTAAAGTGAATTTGAATTAAAAAAATATTCCACACAGTAAACCACGTAACAACTGGATAACCATATAGCTGAAAAAATTCGTTGTCACACTTATGATAAATATACCCTGCTGTTTAGATTAATCTATGCATTTCATGTAAAACCCACTAGCATGATGCTCACATGTATTTAATTTAAAGCCTGTTAATTGACACTTTTTTTGTCTTCTTCCACAAGCAAGATCTGGAAATAAAATATCTTCTTCCTGCTGGTTGATCTTTGATCCATGATCCTCTCCTGTTGAGCAGATTTGGGCTGCAGCAAATAGAAATAGCATTCTGTGTGGGCTGTGACTAAACTCATTTCAGCACGTTTGGGGAGTGCTAAACGAGTCAGCTCTCGTTTGCTGTTTCTGACTGGAGTCAGGAAAAGTGAGACAATGAAGAGCAAGAACAAAATATCCCTAAAACATATACATGAAACATTCCCCCTCACTTACCTCCCCCCATGGCTTACTGACAGAAGTAATGTATCAAACGTATTTCATGATATAATTTATTAATACTTGTAACTTCAGCAAGTTCAAATATGCTTTTCACACGATGAAACAATGGTAGTGAACAATGGTAGTACATTTATATGTGGGTATACATTTGTTCTGAGCACAGACAGAAAATATACAATGAATACATTCACCCAAAACAATTCCTTCTAGAAGGAAAATGTGCTGTCAGCCAAGAACCATGTACATGATAGCCAGTTGTTTCACAGGAGGGATGCTTCTAATACATCTATATAATAGAATGGGACTTAACTGGTTATGTTTCTTCAAGCTGTACTTTTCTGTTGTTCCCCATTTTTCTTGTCTCCCTTTTAATGCACTGAAGATGGCTAAGAGGAGCACTTCTCCCACCTGCTCTCTTTTACCAGGAGTTTTGCAATTGTTGTTTCTCTTGAAGTTCTAAGAATTGGAAAGCCTATGACCATGATAAGATTTCAGCATCTATTTTAGGGAGAAAAGATGTTTCTAGTTGATGTGGCTGAAAAACAAAACAAAAACAAACATGAAAACACACACAGAACAAACAAACAAACAAAAAAAAACACTTCAAAATAAGATCAATCTGGCTTTAAAAATGATTAGAGTAAAGAAAATGCAGTTAAATTATTTTGAAGTCACAGGTGTACATCAACCAGATGAATTTTGCAGGGGAAGAAAGAATAATGGGGGATTTGATCCATGGTTTTAACACATTGATGTTTTTTAAGTCTGCAAAAAGGGGAGAAGAGCCAGAAGAAAGTACCAGAAAAGGCACTAAAGATGAGGTGAGCATATGGAAAACTGAATGGCAGAGAGGGACTATTAGTGAGTATTGGGTACAAAAATTGTTCTTATATTTTTTTTCCCATGTCAACCACTTTGATTGTTATTCTAGATTTTAGTATCCTTAAAATTAAAAAAAAAGCACATAAGTTCCCATCAAAACATTGGACAAATTGGAGAAGTAGGATGAGAGAAAGGAAAAAATCATAATTGAGAGGCTTTTTGTCAAGTATGTACTCTGCCACATGAAAAAAAAAAATAAATTTGAAATTGTTCTGAAAGAAATGCAAGGTACTTTTATTCTACACATTTTCCCATTTTATAGTTTAAGAGAGGACAAGCTAAAGGCAAGGATTACATTCTTATGCCAGTCAGTGTTGTATTAAATTGAGGTAAACTTGTTTTGTTGTTTTGTTTTTTTTTTACAGGTTTGAAATGCCTTTCTTTCTGATATGAAATGCAAACTTGTATATATTCTACTAGAGCAAAATGCACAGCTCTTCTGCCTACCACTGATAAATCAAGGCAAACAAATTATGCAATGGGACCATTCTGCAAATCGTGCTCAGTGGATAGCATGTAAAAGGAGCATCAAGGTGAGTTTGCAAAACCTTCTGGGTGAGAGGGAAGTGCTGACATTCGGATACACGTGGTTTCATAGCTATACAAAAGTCTGATCTGCTGAATACCACAGGATCAGCAAAATAGATGAGAAAAAGATTTTTCTTACATTAATTAATGTTCTGTTCCTTATTCATTGCTTGCTGCAGAGTTGCATATTTGAACATATATACCTGGTAGATAAAGTTAATTGAAGTATAGATTTAAAATAGCAGATTGTAGTATACTATACTACAACAAAGGGGAGGGAGTATTCTCTGTAACAGATTATGGGCTACTCTAAGTGTACTTTTATTTTTTAAGTATTTTGAGTATGGACACCTATGTCTGCTGTAGTCCTGTATTATAGCTGGGAAGGTTGTACTACAAACCAGACTATGTATAGGCATAAGCCTGAGATGTTCCATTCCCCGTATACTCATTCTTCATTTCTACCCCTTCTGTAGTTTCAAGTCTTCTTCAAACAGGCAGAAATCTAGCCTTTTTTTCCAGAATACAGTTCTGGTATTTGGCAGAAAATCAAAATTGATGTTCCAAGAATAGAGGAAATGCATGATTTTGATATTTATTCTTCTTTTCCATAATTGAAGGCACATTAGTATTGGTCAGGTACATGAAGATTGGTCATGTAATTAAGACTTTATTCATAAGAAATAGAGATTTCTGGTCTATTGTGTATAAGGGAAGCAGTGAGGAAGCCTGCTAACTAGTCTGATTACTAGCCTGTCTCATTAGCATGCTAGTAATCAGAACATACCCATGGTTTTCTTTGACAGTACTGGATCTAGAGAAAGAGTGTGAAAATTTCACATCATGGGTATGGTGTTCTCTCTCAGGTACACAATTAGTTGTATCTGGATAAGGACCTTTCATTTTCCTACTCCTTAGCCTAGCCTCCTTTAAAAGAGGGTTATGCTCCCACATTGTCCCTGCGTCTACTCTCTTGCTGTTTTTTCTTAACATTTGAATCCATGCACCACTTTTAACTGTATGGGATGGAAAGGCAGAGGTTTTCCAAGATCATTTCATTTCTGCTAGTTTCTTGACGACTGGTGACTGATGGAGGGGAGAATCTCAAATTATTACCTCTAGCTGAGGCAGTGTCTTAATAACTTGCCTGTTTGTCCATAGCTATGTACAGAGAAGTAACCTGCAGTGGGTTGCACCACATTTGCGCAGTTCATCCTGCAGAGAATATAAGAAAAAGCTGTGGAATTATACAGCCAAAGGACACAGACAAAGCAGCAAGAGCAATTTTCATGATGCAGAGTGCAAATGAAAGGGAAATCAGTCTCCAGCCATTCTGCATCTTCATGATTCATGACACTCCAAAATATCAAAATGGACTTTATGTCCCTCAGAAAGGTGATGAAGGAATTGGGAACTCGGGTAGTGTTCTCCTCTATTCTACCAGTTGGAGATGCAGACCCAGGAAGAAGGAGATGAATAGATCAGGTGAATGGTTCGCCACATGGCTTGTACAATGCTCAGGGTTTTGTGTTCTAAGATATGACAAAGTGACGTGCTGGGTGGACGAGGGAAAGGCTGTGGATGTGGTCTACCTTGAATTCAGCAAGGCTTTTGACACCATCTCCCACAGCATTCTCCTCAAGAAACTGGCTGCTCTTGGCTTGGACTGGCGCACGCTTCGTTGGGTTAGAAACTGGCTGGATAGCCGGGCCCAAAGAGTCGTGGTGAATGGAGTCAAGTCCAGTTGGAGGCCAGTCACTAGTGGCGTCCCCCAGGGCTCGGTGCTAGGGCCGGTCCTCTTCAACATCTTCATCGATGATCTGGACGAGGGCATTGAGTGCACCCTCAGTAAGTTTGCAGATGACACCAAGTTAGGTGCGTGTGTCGATCTGCTCGAGGGTAGGAAGGCTCTGCAGGAGGATCTGGATAGGCTGCACCGATGGGCTGAGGTCAACTGCATGAAGTTTAACAAGGCCAAGTGCCGGGTCCTGCACCTGGGGCGCAATAACCCCAAGCAGAGCTACAGGCTGGGAGATGAGTGGTTGGAGAGCTGCCAGGCAGAGAAGGACCTGGGAGTGATGGTGGACAGTTGGCTGAATATGAGCCAGCAGTGTGCTCAGGTGGCCAAGAAGGCCAACGGCATCCTGGCTTGTATCAGAAACAGCGTGACCAGCAGGGCTAGTGAGGTGATCGTCCCTCTGTACTCGGCTCTGGTGAGGCCACACCTCGAGTACTGTGTTCAGTTTTGGGCCCCTCGCTACAAGAAGGACATCGAGGTGCTTGAGCGGGTCCAAAGAAGGGCGACGAAGCTGGTGAGGGGCCTGGAGAACAAGTCCTACAAGGAGCGGCTGAGGGAGCTGGGCTTGTTCAGCCTGGAGAAGAGGAGGCTCAGGGGCGACCTTATCGCTCTCTACAGATACCTTAAAGGAGGCTGTAGAGAGGTGGGGGTTGGCCTGTTCTCCCACGTGCCTGGTGACAGGACGAGGGGGAACGGGCTAAAGTTGCGCCAGGGGAGTTTTAGGTTAGATGTTAGGAAGAGCTTCTTTACTGAAAGGGTTGTGAGGCATTGGAACAGGCTGCCCAGGGAGGTGGTGGAGTCACCATCCCTGGAAGTCTTCAAAAGACGTTTAGATGTAGAGCTTAGGGATATGGTTTAGTGGGGACTGTTCGTGTTAGGTTAGAGGTTGGACTCGATGATCTTGAGGTCTCTTCCAACCTAGAAATTCTGTGATTCTGTGATTCTGTGATTCTGTGATCTCTGATGTACCTTCAAGAGACTGGGCATGTTGACACTGTCCTTAGGGACAAAGGAACTGAGCAGAACTGGCAACTGTTTAAGGACACTTTTTTTGGAGCACAAGAGACCTCCACTCACATGTGTAATAAGCAGGGAAAATAAGAAAGCAGCATGGCTGAGCAAGGACCTGCTGGTCAAACTGAGATGTACGAAGGAAATGCACAGGCAGTGGAAGCAGGAACATGTGGCCTCAGAAGAGTACAGGGATGTCATCTGGATTTGTAGAGATGGGATCAATAAAACCAAGTTTTTTTGTTTGTTTGTTTGTTTAATTTTGTTTTATATCAGTTTTTAGATAGATAGATAGATAGATATTTGGACAGGGCATCCTTTTTCCATTATACAGAATTAAGAGAGAAACTATTTCATCAATTTTCATTGAGGTATTTATTAGGCTCTGCAGCTAAATAGTGTGAGGCAGAAAGCTTTTCACAGAAAACAAAAGACAGATATTGAAACAGAGTTAATAATGCTCTACAACCTGATCCAGCATTTTCTGAAGTTCCTAACATTGTTGGTTACAGATTGAGTACAGTGGTTCCTAGGATCTACGGATAGCAACATACTGATCCATAAAGTCTATGCGAAGTCTCAATAGACTTTTTATCAACAGTAGTTATAAGACTTTCTTTTTATTGATAATATTACCAAAATTTTGGGTAAACATGGATCAATTCTTACTTGGCAATGCAGTGGTGTCTGTGATAAGATTAGGAATCTGAAGGGCACTCTCTGCATCAGAATATTTGGTAAGGAAGGTGACACTGAGTTAATAACTCTTCTCAGTTTGTGATGAAGATTATTAAAAATGAAGGGGAATGTAGAAAGACAGAGACAGTTTAATCTGAAGTATTGAGGGGGAAGGAAAATGTGTTTACCACCTGTGGTTCAGGGTAGGGAAGCACACTCAGAGATAGCTGAGAGCATGAGATTAGTGAATGCAGTGATATCTAGGGAATTTTAATTTGTATAATTTATTCAGTCATTAAGAAGGAGGACTAGAGGTTTATGTAGAACTCATTTTTATATCTGTATGTGTTACAGGCAACTCTGCAAGGAAAATCTTCAGACTGAATTTTATTAACTAAAATGGATATGGTAAGTACCACAATCATTAGGATGGATTTTGGATACAAATACAGGTGTATTAACATGTAAATGGTCCAATTTAATACAATCAAAAATGTATTAAGTAAAATAGATTGGCAATGTTTATGAGCAGAGAAGTCTGAGGACAAAAAAAAAAAAAGGCAAAAAGATCTGGAGGATATACTGCAAAGTAGAAACTGAAATATAAATTATTTAAAAATACTGTGGATGAGTGATAAGTTGTTAAGTTATCAAAAGTAACAACAGAACAGTTGAAAATTACATGGAGTCAAAAGCTTTGGCACAGATATAATGTCACTGGAAACAAAAAACAAAAAAACAGGGAAATGTAAAAAAGAGCATTTGAAGAACAAAATAGAAAAATGAGTCACTGTTGCCTACCCTGGAGGAATGACTCTGAGGAAAATATCCCTGTGAAGGAGTTGGCCCCTGTGGGGTTAAGGAAAATTATTAAAAAGAGTAAAAACATAATAAATGCAAAAAAAATTTAAACCTCTTCCTTTTCAAGAACATAGAATCCTGCTCCCATAACCCTTTCATTACAGCAGTGTTTTTGAGTTACTGTCTTCCTTAGATATATTATAAAATACCAAAGGAAAGGACTTATTCTTTAAAGTGTAGTAGCTGAATACTAATGGAGCAGCACTCTACAGTGTCTATCCCAGTGAGAATCCTCTTTGCATAGAGGTGTTAGACTGCTGGAGATGAAAACACCAAAAATGTGATTCATGTGGTAAGGACACTCTTCTCCCCAAGAAAAGGGGAGGGAAGTTCATCCAATTATTTGTGGCAATGAACACAAGAGAGAAAAAGTTGAGAGAAAAGTATAAGCAAATGGAAGAGATTGCGTGTCTTTTCCAATCAATTTTTGAGTCAGCAACGTGCCCTTGCCACAAAGAAAGCTAATGGTATTCTTGACTGCATTAGACAAAGTATTGCCACCAGGTCTAGGGAAGTGATCCTCCCCCTCAATGCTGGTGAGTACTGGGTTCAGTGTTGGACTCCCTGGTACATAAGAGACATGGACATACTGGAGAGTCCAGTGAAGGGCTACCAAGATGATGAAGAGACTAGAGCATCTCTCATATGAGGGAAAGGCTGAGAGAACTGAGACTGCTCAGCCTGGAGAAGAGGTGGCTCATCAATGATGAGTGATCTTATCAATACATATTTTGCCCATATTTAAACTGCTTTATTAGTGGTGGACACAATAGAAAAATTTTAAATGCCTTTTTTTTTATTTGTTTTTGTTTGTTTGTTTGTTTTTTCCTTTTCTTGACTGCACCAGCACACAATCTAATAAGATACAGTGTCCAGAGAAAAAACTCAGGAGGTAGATGAATTGGTTCAATTTCTAATCATTTTCAAAATAGGGCAAACTATTAAGTTAGAGGGATATTCTTGAGAAGAGCACAAACTCTTCCTCGTTTCCTCTAGCTGTTGTGGCCAGAGGTGTATTGTTTGGGAAGATAACAAATCTTGGGGTTTTCTGTGCATTAGACTTTTCTAACTTCTTGGACAGCACATCACAGTTAGTGTAAATGAAGTATTATTAACTGCAACACTGTTTATGTTAGAAAGAGACAGTACACAATAATGTGTTTCAGTGGGTTGACTGAGAACTACAAGGCTTGTTACAGGCAATAGGTAAGAACACACTATAGTTAAAGCAACACAACCTCACCCTCCCCCACCACCCCCCTCAAAAAAAAAAACAACCAAAAAATGAAAACAAAAAACAAAAAAAACAGCAACAACAAAATTACACCTTCAAATCCATTCACTTTCAGGGCAATGAAAATCTTCAACGCTGATGAGATTACTTAGAATAGTAACATAAACTAAATAATCAGCTTATTAACAATAGTTTTAGAAGCAGAAACCTTTTAGTGAACATAAAGATGTTGCGAAAGGTCTTCACACCAAAAAAGGAACAATTGAAAAGGTCAAGAAAGTGCTATTACTAAGTACTCTCCACCTCATCCATAATCAGTAATAAAATAGAAAAATGTGTACTGTGTTGGATAATTGTGCAAGCATCTTGGCAGAAATGTCATGGTAATGCTGAAATCAAAGCATATTTATCACAGATTTTCCTTTAATCTTATGGGAAGCATATTAGCTGAAACCTTGTAAGAGAAAGAGTAGGCTTTTTCTGTTCTGACAGTAAGCATGGGCATATTCTGTACAAAAGTATTAGGTGTTTGGTATTTTAGAAGGAATTTTATAAGTAGGAAATATAGCCAATGAGTAAACTCTGCATGATTAAAAGTGAATTGAGAGACAACGGGAGAAAGATCTCATTTGAAAGAGAGCAAGGGAGGTTGTTTATCATGCTGAGTTTAACTGTTAATCCAGATGAAAATTATGGAAACTTGCTTTGCCTTTTGTACTGTAAGTTTTAGTTTCTTTTTCAAGGAAATAAGAAAAAAAATTTCTTGAATGTGAATTTTTAAGGTTTTAATGCCCTGAGGACAACCACTACCATTCACAGAATTACTAAAGCACCCTTACAACAACGTTAATCACATTTGTTTGCTTCATTTACACTTTCACTATCTATGTCATTCAGTTTATATCTGCACTGTATCTGATCAGCAGGCAGTGACCCGAGACTGTGCCCTGGATGTGACTCCCTCCTGCACAGGCAGGCGAGGTGGGGAACTCTCACTAGCACAACCATTCCCTGAAGCCAGCAAGGTCATGGATGTTTGTCTTGACTTCAGCCAGGCTTTTAACACTTACCAATGTGTAGAAATACCTGATGAGGGGAGTAAAGAAGACAGAGCCAGACTATTGTCAGTGGTGCCCAGTAACAGGAGAAGAGGCAATTGGCACAAATGGAAAAACACACAAGTCCATTTAACCATAAGAAAACACTTTATTATTCTGAAGGTGGTTCAACTCTGGAGCAGGTCGTCCAGAGCAATTATTGAGACACCATCTTCAGCAATAGAAACTCTGAACCCAAGTCACCACAACCATAAGCATCCTGCTGTAGGTGATGCTGCTCTGAAGAAGGGGTTGGAATCTAGTCCCTGGTTTCGGTCCCTGTGAGTCTGTGATTCTGTAATACTGCAGAGACGTAATGATTCAAATATCTTTTGTTTCTACCTTTGGGAGGCTCATAATCTCCTGGAGAAAATGCCTTGGGAAATATGTATATATATACATTTAAACCTTTTTCATGTAAAGTTCATTCTCATAATTAATTTTAATTATTAAAAAGAATTTATGCATAAATGAAATAAGCTATGTGCAGTCAAAGAGAGAATCTATGTTTTTAAGAGCTGGAAAGATGTCTAAGAATTCACATGTCTAAAAGTTTCCATGCTGTCATTGCAATAAATTAAGTTTCTAATTAAACACATGCTCACATACACGCTCTTGGATGGGAATGCTGTGCTTGATCAATAGCCCTAGGCTACATGGTAGCAGGCAGAATTATAGCAAATGGAACTGGATGAATCAGTTTACTTAATGACCACAATATGATTTATTTCATTGGTGGGAAAGAGGGGAGGAAGACATCAAACTGCTAAAAATACTACCTGAGCAAATTAAGATATGATCTTACAGGAGATACGTTCCCAAGGGATCCCATGTGAGTGCAGCAGATCAGAGCTCAGATTATTCTTAAAGAAGCATACTTGATGAAAGTGTCTCAGCTAATCTGCATTCAGCTTGTTTTCCATTTGTAATTGAGAAGACTTTTTGATTATTTTTTAATGTAGTTAGCTTAACCATGGACAATTACTGCTGACTGAATCAGCACATTTACAGAGTGTCAAGATTTTGCCAGTTGTAGGAGTTTGTGGAAGCCAAAAAGGGGTGGGAGATCAAAAATGAGTGGGAGGTCAAAAAGGGGTGGGTGGCTGAAAAGAGGTGAGATTCTGGGACAAAAATAGAGGACAAAAAATATCTGAGGCCAGAAATGTATGGAAAGTAAAAAAAAGTGTGGGAAGTCAAAAAGACATAGGAAAGGCAGAGGCTGAAAAGGGCTGAGAAGCCATAAGAAAAGTGGAGGCCACAAGGTTTGGATGTGACCAAAAAGAGGTAGCAAGTTGAGAGAGAAATGGAGACTGAAAAAAGGTGGCAGAGCAAAAGAAGATGAGAAGCCAAGATAAAAGTCAAGGCCGAAAAAGGAGGGGTGAGGTAAAAGAGGGGCATGAGGTTGAGATTTAAGTAGATGCTGAGAAGATGTGAGAGGCTAAAAAGAGGTGGAAGGCAGAAAGAAAAATAGAGGTCAAAAAAGCTTGGGAGACAAAAAGACATGAAAGTCTGAGAGAAAAGTAGAGGCTGAAAAGATCTGGGGAGGGCCAAAAGGGGTGGGGAGTTCAGAGAAATATAGAGGTTGAAAACAAGATGGAGGCCAAAGTGGGGTGGGATGCTGAAAAGTGGGTGGGATGGTGAGAGAAAAAATAGAGGCTGAGAAGAAGGCCAGGGCAGTCTGAAAAGGGGTGGGAGGCCAAAAAGATGTTGGGAGGCTCAGAGGAATTTTTAGGCCAAAAATGGGAGGGACTCCAAAAAGGGCTGGGAGATCCAAAAGTGGTGGGACGCTGGAAGAAAAGTATAGGTCAAAAAGGGGGGGGGGGCTGAAATGTAAGAGTCTGAAGACAGGTGGGAAGACAAAAAAGAGCAAGGATCTGAGAAAAAAGTAGATAAGAATAGGGGTAGGAGGATGATAAAGGAGAGGGAGGATGTGAAAAAATAAAGCTAAAGTGAGGCTGAATGAGCTAAAGTGACCCAAAAAGAGTTTGCAAAGATTTAATGTGTAGCAGGAGAAAAAACATTCCCCATCACCCACAAAAACACGTACACATATATACGAATTCCGGTGCTGGTTATTGGAAATGTTCCTTCATTTTCTCTTTTCTCCTACTTATTTATTGGCAAAAAAATGCAGAAACTGAATATAAATCAGGTCTTGACTTTCTCTATAATTGTGCTTTTCAAAGTAGATAATTAAATTTCTGCCTCTTTGGGAA